TTCCTGAGTGCATGTGAATGACATTGTCCACCAAGTGGAGATTCTGAGCAAATGTGCCCACTTTTGTACCCTCTGTACCCCCACCATCCCAGGAATATTATTTTTTGTCAAAACTTGAGCCTGCACTGGCCACCATCATAATTACCCGCACTCAGGGTATTAACAGCCATCTCCAGTGCCTCTCGCCTCCCCTGTGGCAGTGACTCTCCTCCCAAGCTGCCTTTCCAGCCAAGGTGTGTGTGTGCGCATGTGTGTACATGTGCCTGTGTATTGAGTTGCTGGGAGGTCTGGTTTAGCCGCAATGTTGACCATAAAGAAAAAACAAGAAAGTACAAACTCGAATTAAGTAGTTACAGGAAAATAGGCTGTTTGTCTCCGCCAGTAAGTCCTGTCCATTGCACAGTATTTTAATTACTCAAAGTTTGTGGTTGTAACAGGTAGGAACACCCCTTGGAGGCTGCAGGGTGGGCCGTTAAGAGGTACCCCTAAAGCTTCCTTCTAGACCTGCAGCTCACGATCATGGAGCCGGGGCATGGGTTCCTGTCACTCATGCTCTCCCAGGTTATCTGAAAATCAGCTTTCGTTGCTCTGTTTTTTTCTCTTAACACCCTGGCAGGATTATCAAGGTACATTTCTCACTTATTAATATTTAACTTACCTGACCAAACAATTACATTTTAGGGCCCCAAATAAGTTTCCAGATTATTACAGCATTCACAAGTCACCTACAGAACTGTCCGACTGCAAGTCACACCTGTAACTCAAGGTTTTCTAGTTAAATAGCGTGAAATAGGTGAGATGAATTTCAATGTATTTCAGTTAACCTAGCACACTTACATCACATAAACACATAGTCAATATAAAGTTAGTACTGAGATAGTTCACTTTTTTTTCTGTGAAATCTTTGACATTGTGGGTACATTTTACACGCAGAGCACATCTGAGTTCGCCCTTGCCCTGGGCCAGGCGCTCAGGTAGCTACACGTGGCTGGTGGCTACCACATTGGTCTCTGCGGGTCTAGGATTAGCCCAGACCATCAAAGCAAGTGAGGCAGATCCGTGATTAGAGCTGCTTCCTCTTGAAGAAATGCAGGCTGAGCCACACACAGAGCAGCGCATTTTGCGCTTGGGTACCCTGGGCCGCTGCAGGAGGGTTTGGTCTCCCTTGTATCAGCTTCCTGGGCCTGTGCTTCCTCACAGCTTGCCGAGGGGAGGGGGCCTCTGAGGCAGCTCTTTTCAGCGGGATTTCCCGGATCCGGATCCTCCGTGAGCTGCCAGGGGCAGGGCATCCCTGCGGCTGGCCGTCACGCCCGCAGGTTGAGCTAACTGCCCCGGTGCAGACAGGAGGTGGCCCTCGGCCCAGCCGGCAGAGCCCCCCAAGCCCGCACCCTTGGAGTTGACCTCGGAATTGGCGGTAAAAAGCAGATCCTCCCACTTCTCTTCTAGGACACAGGACCCCTGCTCAGCTCACCCAGCCAGGCTCCCCGGGAGGTTCTGAGCCAAAGGCAACTTTATCTGTGCGCCTCCAATCTGAGTGGAATTCAGTGGCAAATCGGCATTATTATTTAATTACTTAAATAGCATCCCCTGTGTGAGAAGATTCCTGGCATTCAGTTTTGACTGACCTGTTAGCTGCGGAACTTGATGGACTCAGCCCAAATTAAGTGTGAATGCGGCCAGTGCAGACTTCTTAAAAAATGGACTTGATTTGTTGCCTCTTTCTTCATTTCTTTTTCTTTTTCTTTTCTTTTTTTAAGATGAATGATTTTGGAATCAAAAACATAGAACAAGTGGCCCCTGTGTCCAACAGCTACAGAGGGATGGACACTCATGGTGAGTAAATAAGTCTTAATTAAATTTTTTAAAAAATTAGAAAATGCAGTCTCTAGGAGTGAAAACCAACGGGCTGGGTCTCAGAAGACTGCTTCTAGCCTTAGCTTTTTAATTTACTGGCTGTGTGACTCTGGACTTTTGCTTAATCTCTCTGGGTCTCAGTTTTCTAGTCTGTAAAATGGGTGTCCTGGTGCTTGTTCAACTGGTCCTCCTAGATATGAAACCGTTTAATTTGTAGATGATGAGACCTTTGCAGTTTATTGCTGAGGCCCCTACCAGGCGAAAAGTCCTATGCATTCTCAAGAGAACAGAGCTGTAGAGACTATCTGTTCTGTCCATCCAGGAGTTTCCCTGGGTGATGGAAAGGCTGTTTAAGAACTGAAGTTAAAGAGCTGCTTCTCCCGTCAGAAACGGCAATGCCCACTGGGATGTAGGCAGCCTGTGCTTCCTGGCAGGACCGTGCAAGCTGATGTAAAAACTGAAAAACAGATTAAAGATGAAAGAGCCTTCTCCACTGCATAATAAACAGATCTCATGTCGCTTCTCTCTCAATCCCTTTGGGAACATTCTTTAGCAGCAGAAACTGATAATTTCCCATTTGCCTTCTCCAAATGTGACTGTGAGATTTGATTTTTTTTTTCAGTGTTGTATAATAAACATGTCTCAGAAGCAGTGATTTTTACATTGGCCTCCTCTGAGCTGAGTGTTTTTGTACAATAATGTATCCCTGGCATGTTATGTTTTTCTCCGTGTATCATCATGAGATTATTTGCCTGATAGAGCCCAAAGAGGCAAAATATAGCACAGGCCTCTAGAGAGTCATGAAGTTTATCAAACTTCAGGCTAGTGAGTTTTTTGGTTCAATTTGGTCAGATGTTTCCAGCATGGCAGAAACCGGACAAGAAATTATGGCACTAAGTTTGAAACGACACCTCTAGAGAGAAAAATGCTCCTAAAACGTAAGAGAGTTTGACAATGCCCATGTGATTTCTGGGTTTGGAGAAGAAACTCATGGCTGAAATTGATGTGTTGAAATATGTAGCAGGACTTTGTCTTGTCTTTGGCTTCCTGGTTCTAAAAAAAGAAGTCAAGAGTACAATCTGGAAAGGAAAGGCATTTCTTAGTCACCTGGGCAGTGCTAGTGGGAATTTAAAAAAATCTGTTCGCTGTTTCACCAAAATTAGGGCTGCTATAGGGTAGTTTGTAAATCTAGATGAGTATTTTGCACTTGCTTGATTGGTTTTTCCCCCTGTGGGTCTTTGGACATCCTTGCCTTGGGTTTTGGGGGGCTGGTTTCCAACATCATTGGGACATCACTGACTCGAGTGCTTTGGGCTGAGCTCCAGGTTCTGCCTGTCCTCTTATGAAATGCGTCATTCATTGTTCCGCACTTCTAAATAGAAGGCACACAAACCGTTTTAGTTGTAAATGTGTTATGCATTTTTTAAATTGATGACTCAGCAGATGGGTCATTGCATTTACACATAACATGGGATTTTCAGCTTATGGTGGAAAAAAATAACCTTTCCTCACGTTTTCCCTCAACAAGTGAAGCAATGATGAATCAAGCCTTTATCTGTTACTTATAAGTGAGCCTTGCAGTAAAGGCTATTTCATTTATAAATATTAGATGAAATTATGAGAAATCCTCACAATGTGAGGTTTATCTTTCTCCGTGTAACTCTCTTCCTCTTTCTCCTGAATTGTAGGTAGTTTACCTTTAAACCCATTTCCTTTGGAAATCTTTCCCCTTAATGATTTGAGGTGGGGAGGTGGTCATTTTCAATGCACTTTCCTTTTACAGAATTAAGCCTTAAGGAATATTCTCATGTGTACTGTTTTCTGAACTGGGATGGAGGAGGGAGAACTTCTAGTTTCAGTTAAAATGTTTCATGGTAAACATTTCAGAATAAATGCTTCCACAGATAAAGTAATATATTTCGTTGTTTGATTTTTGATTTTCAGTCGCTTGCCTTTCGTTTTAACTGCAGTGAGCTAAAACTGGCCAAGGGTCATTTTCCTTCTATACTCAATTTCTCTACTGTGTAGCTTACAAGGGCCAGGTGTTTGGACCAGGTGTTCTCTGAGATCCCTCCCTCCCAGCACTGTTCTAAGATTCTCTCGTTTTAAGTTCGTTTACTTAATTTACTCATTTAAATTGGTTAGGCCAGTAAAAATAAATTCCCAGGCATACCTCTGGCTCTGAGGTTGATTACAGGCATACCTTCTCAGATTGTACTTTGCTTTGCTGCATGTTTTACAAATTGAAGGTCTGTGGCCACCCTTTGACCAGCAAGTTGATCGGCACCGTTTTCCCAACAGCATTTGCTCACCTTGTGTTTCTGGGTCACATTTGGTAATTCTCGAGATATTTCAAACACTCCGCCAGCAAAACAGATGAAGGCTCAGATGATGGTTAGCATTTTTTAGCAATAAAGTATTTTTTAATTAAGTGTTGGGTTTTTTTAAGACATAATGCTGTTGCACACTTAATTGACTATAAACGTGTGTCACTTTTCTACGCACTTGGAAACCAAAAAATTTGTGTGACTTGCTTTACTGCGGTATTTGCTTTATCGCAGTGGTCCGGAACCAAACCCTCGGTATCTCCAAGGTGTGCCTGTAAGTGATCCAGAGTAAAATATAATCCTTTCGGTCACTTTGACCCTCTCAGAAGTCTACTCAGGCTAGTCTATTCCATGAGTGACTTTGTAACTGGTAGTTTAATTGGGGTGTCTCAGTGAGACTGCCCGTGAACCACTTTTAAAATAGATCATTAAATAAGTCAGATATCAGGTTTTGGTTTTCTTTCCATCTGCTTCTGCAGCACCAGCCCGCCTTTGACACCTTCATCCGGTCCCTGCTTGCCATTTTCCCCTCGTTAAATGAGGAACAAATACTCCAAGAAGTGCCAACAGGCTTGGATTCAATTTCTCATGGTAATTCGTTACTCAGACTCGACAAATTGAGCCTGATGTCCCTAAGTCGTCCAGTTAATAGGAAGATGACAATTCCTAAGTGACAAATGTTGGTGTCTTGAATCGGGTGTGAAGGGTCAGGTAGAGGTTCTACACCGGAGAAGACAGTTTTCCTTTTTCACACACGTGGTGACTGGTGTCCCCACCTGCCAGACCCAGGGAGAGCAAGTGCCTTGCTGGGAGCAGACCATGGCGGGCCAGTGAGCTTTCCTTTAGGCTGTTTCCAGCTGCAGCCAGCCCAGCCTCATCTGCCAGTCCGCTCTGTGAAGCAGGCCAGTGGACGTTAAAATGCATCCCAGCTTTTCACCCTAGGTTTGCATCATTACCTAGATCATCCCCTTGCCCCCATCTCCGAGTTTTGGGGCAACAAATTACTCTTGCTCATCGTTACCCACCTGTGTTTGCTTCTGTAGCTGTTCGTGCTTTTCAAAGGAATAGCACGTCAGACAGTGCCTCTGCCATTACTGTGATACGGTTATTGGTTGGAAACATTCCAGAGGTTACTTTGTTGTATGAAGTAGGTGCTAGAAAATACAGCCCAGAAAGTTAATTAAAACATGTATGCTTGTGTAAGTGTGCTGTCGTGTGACGGTCGTTTATAACACTGGAAATTGCTGAGGGAATCCAGAGAAGGTGGTTTTTCAATAAAAATGGAAGATGTATGGACATCACGGGTGCCAAGCGTGGTGTGTTCCTTTTATGCCTGATGTCCCTTTGCCCTCTGCTTCGTTTAATGGAAGTCACTTCCAGATTAGGCATTTACAGCCCCTTAAACCATGCTATTTCTTTCATTGTCTAACATTGAAGTACAGCCTTAAGTAGAAATGTTACCTAGGCATCACCACTTTATGAAGTTTTCTCCCGGAACTGCTCTCCAACAAATCCTGCCAGTCCTTCATCAGCTGGACCGGAGACGGATGGAAGTTTAAGCTTGCGGACCCCGACGAGGGAAGTCCAGCACCTGGGAAATCAGTCTCCCAGCTCTAAAACCTGATTTAGTCACTTGGGGTTCCTGGAGTCAATTCTCTGGGCACAAGAAAGGGTTCACCAGGATACGGATGAGAACACTTCTACATGAGGCATTCCTGACTGTCGTGGAAATGTGGACTCTTGTTTCGCTGATAAACAGTTTCTAGTGTCCCCTGATAGTGCACAGAGCATCGAGCAGGGTTCATTCATTGTCTAATCCAGAGGTGCAAGCTGTAAACCGAGGCTCTCACCTGACCATCTGAAAGTGTCTTAGGAAATTTGCCTGTTAACCCCGGGGCGACTCAGCCGCTAGTTGCTCCATGCCAGCGCTCTGGCTGGGCTCCCACACCCCTCAGCTGAGCTTGGCAGAGCTGTACCAGCGAAATCAGCAGGCAGGTCCGATCTGCCCACAGCAGTCGGCTCACTCTGCCTCTTGCTCTATAAATTACCTAGACCACATAACGCAAAGGTAATACAAGCCACTGATGCCATGTTAAATTTTCTCGTAGCCATGTTAAAAAACTAAAAAGGAAACAGGTGAAACTAATTTTAACATTTTACTTGAGCTAGTAGTTTATCCTTTTGACATGTAATCAAAATTTTTTAAATTATTAAGGAGATAGTTACGTTTCCTGTTCAAAACTAAGACTTTCAGATCCGGTGGGAGTGTGTTATATTCTCACCACGTGTGTCAGTGTGGACCAGCCACCCTTCAAATGCTCAGTGGTCTGGATTGGGGGTCGGGGAGTGGCCACCATATGGGATATAGCACAGGTCTAAACTTTGCCTGCAGACCTTCCATAAGTCAAACAGGAAGAGTTAAAACCAAGCTCTTAAGGGCAGAATTAATTGCACTGACCTAACGAACTGCTATTAATCCAATGAGGAACCGAGTTGAGGTGTGAATTTTCTTCATACTGATCTGTCTTTTCCTGGTTTTCTGAAAAAGAGACACAGGATACGTAAGATTGCAAATCGAGGTTCAAACTAAACAAGAAAAAAAAGTTCCTTTCTGAATCACTGTTCTACAGGTATTTCATCATAATGAAATGTGTTTAATGCTTTACATCTAATCTTATGGTGTTCCATGTAACCATGTTGTTTAAAAGCACTAGAGGCAGCAACACATTTTTCTAATAACTAGAAAAAGTCTTCCAAAATTAATGCTGTCATTGGCAGAGTGAAATTTTCTATTGCTAATTTGAGAGATCCAGATGGTGTATTGAATTTATCCACCTGGTCAACAGTTAGATGCTTATCAAGTACCACCTGCCCCAGGGGCTGGAATCCAGTAGACTGGTAACACGGGCAGAGTTCTTGCCCTGGTGAGGTCTCTGGCACAGGGAGAGAGCGGTCTGGTGCCTCCCCGATTCCTGGCAGAAGCATGGAGGGCTGCTCAGTGTCACGTGGCTCCGATCCCAGTGGAGGTGGAGGTCTACACGCGGACCCCGGGGCTTGGGGGGTCCCCCTGATTCCGAACCCTTGACTCCCAGAGGTTTTTCTGAGTGAGAGGCCTCACCTCCATCCTCAGACATGCAGCAGGGGGACACAGTGCCCGGGGAACATGCTTGAAAGCAGCTGCAGCTCTGCGGCCCTCTTATGGTCGGGTCCTGGCGGGCGAACACGCGTCAGAACCCTAGTCGGGGGGGGAACATCATTCACTTTTTCTTAATCTCCAAATACTTGAACTCTTTCCCATCCACCCCCCAGGTGGCCCGACGGTGGGGAAAGAGGAAAAACAAGCCCAAGATGAACTACGGGAAGCTGAGCTGGGGGTTGCGCTGCTACTACAACACGAACGTCATCCACAAGACGTCGGGGAAGCCGTGCGCGCGCCGCTTCGTGTGCGCCCTGCAGGACTTGCCGGCTTCGCGCCCGAGGAGCTGCCCGCCCTCCCGGGCGTCCGGCCGGACACGGGGGGCTGAGGCCGCCCGGGCCGTGAGTGGGGCCACCCTGACCCGCGGCTCCAGGGAGCCGGAAAGGTGGGACGGACGCGTCCAGGAACGACTCCGAGAAGCAGGGGCCTTATTTCCTCTGAAACAGCGGTTCTTCGCCGCCAGCAGCAGGGTTTCTCGCTTCTCAGGCTGTTGACAGGAGCACGCTGTTAGGATGCTGTTACATGCGAACGGCCGGGAGATGCGCGCCGGGCAGCCGGCCTGGCCCCGGGGGGGCTGTGTTGTGACAGGGTCGCTTGGCCGGTGGGGAATTCTCCACGGGGCGTGTGGTGGACACACGGTTTGGGATTTTCTTTTGCCTTTGGCAACCAGGAATTGCAAATGCAGAAGAGGTCTCTGGTTCAGAGGGGAGGAGGGGAAGGAAACAATCATGCCATTTCAGAAGTTAGTTTGTATATGTGACTGTAATCTTACAAAATCCTCTAACAGTCCTATTTAACAGAATTGTATACTGTAACTTAAAATAAGTATCTAATTGTATGTGAAACAAGAATGCAGACATCCAGTGTGTATTCCATTTTTTTAAGAGCACATGTGGCGTTTTGCAAACATTGATTCGGCAGAGGGCAGACCAAGCAAGGGAGGTTGTAATGTATGTATTATTTATATGTTAACAGGCCTACAGGAATAAGGTCTAATGGTTAATTCCTGTTTTGTTTTTTTTGTTGTTGTTGTTTTGTCTTGTTTTGTTTTGCCTGGGTTATTGTCTATGGCAAGGACTTTGTACATTTGGGAATTTTTATAAGAAACTTAATGTTATTATCTGGGGTCTCACCTGGCCCCTTTGCTTCTCCTTTAATTGTAATGTTAAAGCTATAAAGCAGTATTTTTCTTGACAAATGGCATATGTTTCCCATTTCTATGCATGCCTTTAAATCAGTTTATACACAAAACTTACTTTATTTTTCAATGTAACTGTATTTCCCCAACCGCTAACCTCCCTGACCAGCCATTTCCTTCCCGTGCCCCACGCCCGAGCCCCAAATTATTCTGTATGATTAAAATAAGAGTCTTATTTTTGGGAATAAGCAACTCCTTTTCAGAGATCAGGAGAGATTTATGTAGCAGCTATTTTTACTGCAAAAGCAATTCACTGGGGAAAAACAAAAAAAAATGTAATTTGTAAGAAAGCTTTCTTTCTATCTCTCTGTAAAGTTAACGTATTGTACAGAGCTGAAGGTTCAGGGGGAGGGCACTCTGTGTGAGGCCTCTGGGACGTGAGTGAAGCATGATTTGCCCCACCCTGTTCACCTGACAAGTCTTGGACTCTATGGATACCCAGCTGCTCCTTTCTGTTCAGCGTCCACAGCCAGAGAGGTTTTTTTTCCCCTTATTTTTTCTAATACAAAATGGCCAGAGGTGAAGAGAGGGCAGACCAGATGGGAACGAGAAGGCATTAGGGTCCTTCAGGTGAAAATGTCTTGATTCACGATGGAGACTTTCGTCACTGTTTCAACGGAAACGCTAAGTCAGCGTGTGCTCCTGACCTTTGTAAATGATCAAGTCAAGTTCACAGCCTTCAGGAGCAGCATGAGGGGATACGGGCCAGTGGTGACATCTCTAAAGAAGAATCATTCGTGCAGTAAGACCAGAGGTTTGGGTGGTAGGACCAGCAGAGCCATGGCGGGAACCACTCGGTCTTGGTACCCACACAAGACCGTTTCCAGCATCTTTAAGCACAGGATGTTTTTCTCAAGCAAAACCTGTTTATTTCTCCAACATCTGCTTATAACATCAGCAGACATGGGACTGGGAACATCTCGCTGCTGAAAGAAATCTTAGCTATCGGCTCGTTTTATATGGTGTTGAACCACATGAAATTGCCGATGTTGGTCTGTTTTTTTAATTGACAAAGTTGGCAGTTTCATGCGGCTCAAACTGAGAGTTCTGGAAACGCAAGTCCATGATAAACCTTTTGGCATGGTAATGAACAGACCTTAAGCACAAAAATTTTGTAATTTGGCCTCTTTCTCAAACAATAAAGTATTTTGTTTATACAAACTCTTCCTTGTCAGGGTCCTCATTCTTTGGTGGAGTGAGGATGCTGGGCTCAGAGCCACCCACCTCTCCGTGGCACTCTGTCATTGAGAGTCATCTCTCCCTGTCACTGATCTTACACACCCATTGCCTCGTAACTCAGGACCAAGCTGGAACCAACTGTGAGCCCTTCCTGAAGGAATTCCCAAAAAGTGTTCCTTAAAGTGAATAATTCTTTTAGGAAGGAATTAGAATAAAAATATTCAGGTGTCTTGTCCTTGCCAGGGGGTTGGCAGGAGATAGCAGAAGAGATTTGAGGATGTTTCTATGGAGAGTATTAGGAGTTGAGGTTCAGGGACTTTTGTAACTGGGGTCATGACTCTCGTGGAGTTCTGCCATTGCCAAGACGACTGAACAGAGGTGAGGTTGATGGTCCGTGGACACTTGTGCTCAAACCCATTCTTGGGCTTCCTTTCCACTCTCCAAAATTAGTACGGATTCCAAAAACTTCGGTGGTTCATATCAGTGGAGTGCCGGAGCCAGCTCCCCATGGACAGGCGGGAGCTGATGGTGCAGGTATCTTCCCAGCTTTGCATCAGTGACATATTGGTGGCTTGAATTTGGTCGGGATGAGAGTATTTACACCACCGAGATCAGCAAACACTACAGATCAGGGGTCCCCCACCATCCCTTCTCAGGGAGCTGGTTGCTAAACATTTACCAGCACAGCACTGGTGGTCAATGATTATTTACCATATTGGAAATTAAAGCAAATTTTAACATACGATTCACTTTTGAAATAACATCTACAGAAAGATTTTTATGAAAAATAGCTTTTTCCCAAAATGTGAGAATGACATTGTTTTACATATTTTCAAACCTCTTTGATGACTGGCTTAATAGAAGAGAGCTGGATTCTTATGCTGGCCTCTGCATTTAGTCCCTTGTGATACATTTTTGGAGAAAATCAGGCCTCACACAGATACGTAATTGGAAGAGGGTGGTGTATTGAATACCTGTTTCAGGTAACTGGAAATCGTTTTATACTACACCCAAACTAACAAATGGTAGTTTCTTAAAGGGTAATTGCAGTTGGAGTTATGTATGAAATCATATCAATAAACTTGCCTATGATTACAATAAATTCCATTGGTCTTTCTTGCACTTTGGGGCTATTACCCATGTGTGATTTTGTAACATGCATTAGTCATCGGAAAATATTGCTTCAAAATGTTGACACATTTCAACACACAATATTAAATTATCACAGTAGTTACTATCACCACCAGTCTCACCAGAAAATAACTAGCAAGCTCTCAAGCTCACAGTGGCAGACATGAATTGTCAAAAATTCAAATTTTCAGTTGAAAGCTTAAGGTTTATGATCAGCAGCAAATAAATACACTGAGGTTTGGTTTTTTTTTTTGGAAAACATTTCATTTCATTTACTTTTGAGGGAACGCCTGTCAAACACACAAGTCTGCATAAATGTAATTCACCAGTTGCGCTTTCAAGTAAAAATGGTGCTTGTGGATGAAGTGGTTAGATTAGCTTGCAAGTCAAATGTGCAACTACATTTCCCTGGACAAACGGTCTATCTTTGATAGCACCAGAACTTCTGTGTACTTTCAATTTTATTACCCAGGAACCAAAAAGATGTGTATTCACTTACTAATAAAATTAATTTTTTCTGCATCATCAAGGACATTTTTAAAAGAAACTGGTGTTTTTTTCCTGCAAGGACCTGTTGAAAAATGCAGCAATTGCCAGTACAGTTTAGTGCTAAAGCTCTAGCAGTTTATCCCTCTTTGATTTTGCATCATCTGTGCAAACATCAACACAGTTTTTAAAAAAGGCAAATATTTTAATATTATTATAAAAATCATTTGACCTTGAGGATCTCCCTGAAAGGATGTTGTTGTTGGACCTCACTTTGAGGACTTCTAGAAATCAGAGACGCTCACCCAGAACAAACAGGGTGGACCTGGGATGGGATGGGGGGGCAGGGTGGGAAATTTTTCCTTTTGCGTCTCTAATCCAGTGTCCCTATTTCCAATCTTACCATTTCAGAGCCAGTTAAGATGAAGCATTTTTAATTTAACATGAAAAGAATTGTTTAATGTCTGCATAGTAAGGAAAAAGTTCATTCCCACAGGATGAAATGGATCCTTTCAAAGTCCTTCTACCAGACTCAGTCTCTGGTCCTTTAATATCTTCCACTCTAATTCTACCCCCACCCCGCTTTTAAAAGCCATTCTTCCATCACCCTAAGGACCAAATATCTTGTTAATAATTCTCAGTTCCCGAGCATCAGACTCGTTTGTTTGGTCAAGTTTGCAACAGGCAGGGGCTTCTGTCTTCCCAAGCTATAAGTGGACCCCAGAACACACCCCCAAGTGGCTCCAATAGTTTGTTGATTGTTTATTCACTCATTTTTGTATTCCTCCTGCCAACCATTCATTTACAAGTGGTTATGAAATGTCAGCCACTGGGAATAGACAAATCACTGACAGCCAGACCCTCCATGTTTTCTAGGGGCTTCTTTCTAGTGAAGGAGACCAGGAATAAATATGGTGAGAGTGAGCATATGAGTTCCACCCAGAGCAGGAGGCTTGGCTCCCAGTGGTTCAGCTGCGTCTGGGGCTGGAGTCTGGGTAATAACCATGCATGTTGGCAGGCGGGTTGTAACAAGAGCGGAAGAGGAAGCAGCTTTGCCCAGTGCTGTGAGAGGGGTTGGGGGCCCACAGTGCTGAAATGTCTCTGCAGTCAGCTTTGTAGTGGGGATCAAAGACTCAGTGACCTGGGTCTCTTTCCTTCTCTTTGGAATCAGTTTCCTGGGGTGACTATAACACAGTATACAGATTGTGGCTTAAATAACATAAAATTATTGTCTCTCAGTTTTGGAAGCTGGAAGTCCAAAATCAAGGTGTTGGCAGGGCTGGTTTCTTCTGGGGTGGTGAGGGAGCCTCTGGCCCAGGCCTCTCTCCTTGCCT